GTCTAAGGATGGTTAGGTTTTAAAGGTTGGGTTTTTAACGTTTAAAGGATGGGTTAAGGCTTAATTAAGGTTTAATAGTCTGAGGAGGGGGTTAGGTTTTAAAGGTTAGGTTTAATAGTTGGGAGGGGGTTAGGCTTAAAGGTTAGGTTTTTAACCCAAGTTTGAGGGGGGGTTAGGTTTAAAAGGTAATTTTAACAGTCTGAGGATGGGTTAGGCTTAAAGTTTAAACAGTTTGAGGAGGGGTTGGGTTTAAAAGGTTGGGTTTAACCAGTCTAAGGATGGGTTAGGTTTAAAAGGGTTTTGGGGTTTAACAGTCTGAGGATGGGTTAGGTTTTTTAAAGTTTAACAGTCTGAGGATGGGTTAGGATTAAAGGTTAGGTTTAATAGTCTGGGTGGATTAGGTTTAAAAGGTTGGTTTAACTTTTTGAGGATGGGTTAGGTTAAAAAGGTTAGGTTTAATGTCTGAGGATGGGTTAGGTTTTAAAGGTTAGGTTTTAATAGTCTGAGGATGGGTTAGGTTTAAAGGTTTTTTTTTTAACATTTTTTGGGATGGGTTAGGCTTTAAAGGAAAATGTTTAACAGTTGGGGAAAGGGGGTTAGGTTTAAAATGTTTAACAGTCTGAGGATGGGTTAGGTTTAAAAAGGTTTTGGTTTTAAATAGTTTTAAGGTGGGTTAGGCTTAAAGGTTGGGTTTAACGGGTCTGAGGAGGGGTTTTAGGCTTAAAGTTTAACACTCTGAGGATGGGTTAGGTTTAAAAGGGTTGGGTTTTTAACCCGGTCTGAGGATGGGTTGGTTTAAAAAGTTTAACAGTTGAGGAGGGGTTTTTGGGAAAAAAAGGGTTGGGTTTTAAACAGTTGAGGAGGGGTTTTGGATTAAAGGTTGGGTTTTTAACATTTCTGGGGAAAGGGTTGGATTAAAGGTTGGGTTTTAAATTTTAGTTGGAGGATGGTTTAGGTTTAAAAAGGTTTGGGTTTTTAAACAGTTTGGGAGGGGTTGGGAAAAGGTTAGGTTTAATAGTCTGAGGATGGATTAGGTTAAAGGTTGGGGGTTTAACAGTTTGGGGATGGGTTAGGCTTAAAGGTTGGGTTTTAACAGTCTGGGGAGGGGTTTTGGTTTTAAAGGTTAGGTTTAACGGGTCAAAGGATGGATTAGGTTTAAAAGGGTTTTGGGTTTTTTAACATTTCAAGGAGGGGTTTAGGTTTTAAAAGGTTGGGTTTTTAACAGTCTGGGGGGGATGGGTTAGGCTTAAAGGTTGGGTTTTTACAGTCTGGGGGGATGGGTTTAGGTTTAAAAGGTTGGGTTTTAAATTTCTGAGGTTGGGTTAGGCTTAAAAGTTTAACGTGGGAGGAGGGTTAGGTTTAAAAAGGGTTAGGTTTAACAGTCTGGGGAAAGGGGATTAGGTTTTTAAAGGTTGGGTTTTTTCCCAGTCTGAGGAGGGGTTTTAGGTTTAAAAAAGGTTTAAATAGTCTGGGGATGGGTTGGGCCCTTAAAAGGGTTTAGGTTTAACAGTTTGAGGATGGGTTAGGCTTAAAGGTTAGGTTTAACTTTTTGAGGATGGGTTAGGTTAAAAAGGTAATTTTTTTAACAGTCTGAGGATGGGTTGGGTTTTTAAAGTTTAACGTCTGGGGGTTGGGTTAGGATTAAAGGTTGGGTTTTTTTTTAACACCCTGAGGCTGGGTTGGGGTTTTTAAAGGGGTTGGGTTTTAACAGTCTGAGGATGGGTTAGGTTTAAAAGTTTAACAGTTGAGGAGGGGTTTGGAAATTAAAGGTTAGGTTTAACAGTTGAGGATGGTTTGGTTTTAAGGTTAGGTTTAAAAAGTCTGGGGGGTTTGGGTTAGGCTTAAATTTTTAACATTTCTGAGGATGGGTTAGGATTAAAGGTTGGTTTAACAGTCTGGGGGGTTTTAGGTTAAAGGTTTTTGGGGTTTTAACAGTCTGAGGTTTGGGTTAGGTTTAAAAAGGTTTTTAGGTTTAATAGTTGGGGGGATGGTTTTGGTTTTAAAGGGTTGGGTTTTAAATTTGTTGAGGGATGGATTAGGCTTAAAGGTTAGGTTTAACAGTTTGGGGTTGGGTTGGGGTTTAAAATTAGGTTTAATATTTTAGGGATGGGGTTAGGTTTAAAAGGTTTTGGGTTTTAATGTTGGGAGGGGTTGGTTTTAAAAATTTAAAGGTTGGTTTTAAAAACAGTTTGAGGAGGGGTTTTTAGGCTTAAAGGTTAGGTTTAACAGTTTGAGGATGGGTTGGTTTAAAATTTTAACATTTCTGGGGGAGGGGTTAAAGGTTAAAAAGGTTAAATTTTTGGGTTTTAAAAAGTCTGAGGGGGGGTTGGGCCTTAAAAATTTTTTAGGTTTTAAAAAGGGTTGAGGATGGGTTAGGCTTTTTAAGGGTTTAAAGTTAAGGGGGGTTTTGGTTTAAAAGGTTGGGTTTTAACAGTCTGAGGGGGGGGTTGGGGTTTAAAGGGTTTTGGGTTTTAAATAGTCGGAGGAGGGATTTAGGTTTAAAGGTTGGGTTTTTTAAACAGTTTGAGGAGGGGTTTTTGGGTTTAAAATTTTTAAGGTTTAATAGTCTGAGGATGGGTTGGGTTTAAAAGGTTTTGGGCCCTTTAACAGTTTGAGGAGGGGGTTAGGTTAAAAGGTTGGTTTAATGTTTGGGGATGGTTTAGGTTTAAAGGTTGGGTTTTAAACCCTTTTTTGAGGGGGTTAGGTTTAAAAGGTTGGGTTTTTTAATAGTCTGGGGAATGGGTTGGGTTTAAAGGTTTAGGTTTAATAGTCTAAAGGATGGGTTGGGCTTAAAGGTTGGGTTTTAAACAGTTTGAGGATGGGTTAGGGTTTAAAAGGGGTAATGTTTTAACGCCGGGGTTGGGTTTTTTGGCCCTTAAAGGTTAGGTTTAAAAAGGTTGGGGGGGATGGGTTTAGGTTTAAAAGGTTGGAAAAAACAGTTGAGGAGGGGTTGGGATTAAATTTTTGGGTTTAATAGTTGGGGAAAGGATTAGGTTTTAAAGGTTGGGTTTTAAAACCCTTTTTGAGGAGGGGGTTAAAGGCTTAAAAGGTAATGTTTAATATCTAAAGGATGGATTATTTTTTAAAAAAAAGGTTAGGTTTAAAAACCAGTTTGGGGAGGGGTTTTGGTTTTAAAAAGGTTAGGTTTAATGTTTGAGGAGGGGGTTAGGTTTAAAGGTTGGGTTTTTAAATAGTCTGGGGATGGGTTAGGTTTAAAAAGGTTTGGGTTTTAAACAGTTTGGGGGAAGGGGTTAGGCTTAAAGGTAATGTTTAACATTTCTGAGGATGGGTTAGGTTTAAAGTTTAACAGTCTGAGGATGGGTTTAGGGATTTAGGTTAGGGTTAAAAACATTTTCTGAGGAGGGGTTTAAAAGGCTTAAAGGTTTAGTTTTTAACATTTTGGGAGGAGGGGGTTAGGCTTTAAAGTTTAACTTTTTCTGGGGGAAGGGGTTAGGTTTAAAAGGTTAGGTTAAACCTTCTGGGGATGGTTGGTTTAAAAAGGGTTTTGGGTTTAACAGTCTGGGGAAGGGGTTAGGCTTAAAGTTTAATAGTCTGAGGAAGGGGTTTAGGCTTAAAGGGTTTGGGTTTAACGTTTGAGGATGGGTTGGGTTTAAAAGGGGGGGGTTTAATGTCTGAGGATGGGTTAGGCTTAAAGGTAAGGTTTAAACTTTTGGGAGGAGGGTTGGGCAAAAAGGGTTAGGTTTTAATATTTGGGAAGGGGGTATTAGGCTTTAAAGGTTGGGTTTAACAGTTTGAGGATGGGTTAGGCTTAAAGGTTGGGGTTTAATAGCCCTTTAAAAGGGAATTGGGGGTTAGGGTTTAAAGGTTAGGTTTTAACAGTTTGAGGATGGGTTAGGCTTAAAGGTTAGGTTTAATGTCTGGGGAGGGTTTTAAGGCTTAAAGGTTGGGTTTAATAGTTCTTGAGGATGGGTTGGGCCCTTAAAGGTTAGGTTTAACAGTTTGAGGATGGGTTGGTTTAAAAAGGTAATGTTTAACCCTTTCCCCTTGGGGGAGGGGTTTTAGGCTTAAAGTTTAACGGGCGGGAGGATGGGTTGGTTTTAAAGGGTTTTTAGGTTTAACATTTTTGGGGGGTGGGTTAGGTTTAAAAGGTTTTGGGTTTTAACAGTGAGGAGGGGTTAGGCTTAAATTTTAAAAACAGTTTTTGGGGAAAGGGGGTTAGGCTTAAAAGGTTAGGTTTAAACCCGGAGGGAGGAGGGAAATTTGGTTTTAAAAGGGTTTTGCTTTAGAAATTTCGGGAGGAGGGGTTTTTAGGCAAAAAATTTTTTAATAGTTTTGGGGATGGGTTGGGCCCTTAAAAGGTTGGGTTTTAAAACCCGTTTGAGGATGGGTTAGGCTTAAAGGTTTGGGTTTTAAATGTTGAGGGGGGTTTTAAGGGCTTAAAGGTTTAAGGTTTTAATAGTTGGGGGAATGGGTTGGTTTAAAAAGGTTGGGGTTTTTAATAGTCTGAGGATGGGTTAGGTTAAAGGGTTTAAAGGTTTTAAAAACAGTCTGGGGGATGGGTTGGGCCCAAAATTTAATTTTAAAAAACAGTTGGGGAAAGGGTTAGGTTTAAAAGGTTAGGTTTAAAAAGCCCCTGGGGAGGGATTGGGCTTAAAGGTTTTTTTTACCCTTTGGGAGGATGGGTTAGGCTTAAAGGTTAGGTTTAATAGTCTGAGGATGGATTAGGCTTAAAGGTTAGGTTTAACAGTTTGAGGATGGGTTAGGCTTAAAGGTTAGGTTTAATAGTCTGAGGATGGGTTAGGCTTAAAGGTTAGGTTTAACAGTCTGAGGATGGGTTAGGCTTAAAGGTTAGGTTTAACAGTCTGAGGATGGGTTAGGCTTAAAGGTTATGTTTAACAGTCTGAGGATGGGTTAGGCTTAAAGGTTAGGTTTAACAGTCTGAGGATGGGTTAGGCTTAAAGGTTAGGTTTAACAGTCTGAGGATGGGTTAGGCTTAAAGGTTAGGTTTAACAGTCTGAGGATGGGTTCTGCTGTCTCACCAGCTGTCAGTCCGGAGTGTGGGGGGCTGGAAAACGTTGCGGAAGTGAGAACGGCGGACTGGTGGCTGTTTGCAGACGGCTGATGATGATGGTTGTGAGGAGGCGTTACCCTGATGGAGCTCCTCCTCAGCTGTTCCAGCTCGGTGAGCCTCTCGGAGAAAGCCAACGAACCCGCTTTGACCTCGTCCAGCTTCTGACGGTGACCTGGAGGTCAAAGGTTAAAGCCGTCAGGTTTTAGATGGATCTGTTGCATGTATGGCTACATAAACACAAAGCTGAATGAGATAAACAGTGTCAGCATTCTATCAAAAGTCCATACAAGCAATAAATGCTCCTAGGAGGAGCTTTAAGTCATACAGATGCTCATAAACTACTCATCACAAGCCTTTCTAACATGTCGCGGGTGTAAATAGTGTCTCAGGTTGTCCGGTGACGCCATCACCCTGGATTAGCATTGATGGCGTCTGTCCAAGTCCAAGGTGTGGTGTTTTGACGTCCGTACGTTGGACTCAATTGTGTCACATAAATTAGCGGGTCAACCCCGTTCTGGTGTTCTGACAGCACAACGATCAGAGCTAACATTTGCCCAAAATGTCCAAGCATTTGGCAAGAGATATCAAAGGACTTGAGCCAGTCGGGCATTACTGTTGATTGACAGTCACAGCAGCCAATCACAGGCCAGGCTGTTTGCACGTAACGCTGAGATGTTGAGAGTTGGACATTATGGATTTAATGAAGATGAGTCCACTTTGTCTTCCTATTATCCCTACTACTCCACCACCCCTGGTGTAGGGTCATAAGACACGCTAACGCTACAGATGCTACCGACTCAGCACACAGACTCTGCGTGATGTTATTATCTTTGTCTGGGCAACCATAATGTTTTACATCATTGGGGAATGTTCAGCTAATCATGTAGCGTAACGTCGCTGGCAGGACCCAAGCAGATCTGGTAGCTATAGCGGCTCGTACCAGTTCTCTATGATGGCAGCCAGGGGAGGGGCCAACAGTGACGCGCACTCTCCGCCTCGTATCATCCCGCCTTGCGCCACTGCTTCAGGTGTTCAGCCAGCTATTTAAAGCCTCTTTCTCACTGAAATGAGCAGTTTAACACGCATTTTCAAAAACGGGTTCTGGCTGGCCGTTTGTGTTCTATTCAGAAATGATGTCTGCATGGAGATCGTTTGGAGGGGTTTGGAAGGCAAAAGTAACGCTATGTGGGTGTGAGGATGAAATTTTTTTTTTAGGTGTATCAATTTGTTCCAACTGATTGTGAAAAATTGGTTTAAATCTGATTTATCTGATCGATTTCAGTTTGTTCATGTTAATGACAGATCTTCAACATGCTCAAAGGTTACCTGTGGAGTACCACAGGGATCAGTGCTAGGACCAATTCTCTTTACTTTATACATGCTCCCAATTGGTAGAGTTATTAGACAGCATGGGATTAATTTCCACTGTTATGCTGATGATACCCAGCTATATCTGTCTCAGTGTGCCTCAGCCCCCCCCCCTTCAGTGTCCACCATATTGGATCAGTCCATTTGCTGCACATGTTCAGAAAGGTCCAAACAGACAGCAGCAAACCATTTGAAAACAAACCATGCAAAGAGCAGTGTTGCCAACTTAGCGCTTTAGTCGCTATATTTTAGCCACTTTTCAGACCCCTCTAGCACTTTGATTTCTAAAAAGCTCCTAGCGCCAAATCTAGAGACTTTTTTCTGCTACTGGAGACTTTGGAGACAACATCTAAAAGCAGCGAACTCTGCTCTCCAGAGCGAGTAGATTGGTAACCCCGCCTCCTGCTCTCCTCTATCTTGTCTGCTGTCATGATTCATGCAGCTATTATTTCATCCAAATGAAAAATGGAGAACAGATAAGCAGATCATGGCTTGTCTACAGTGAAAAGAAGGACTGGGTTATTTACTTTGGCCTTTTTGGAAACACAGGAAGGAGCAATCAGCTGGGGTCTGTTTTATGCATTGTCTTCTCCATTTAGAGGGCCCCTGCCTGTCTTTGCGTAGGGCCCCAAATTTCCTAAATCCGCCCCTGCTTGGGTTACTTACGCCGTGGCTCTCTGGGACCGTCCACCGTTATCTTGATGGCCCGCTGGTAGGTGGCGACTTGGGGAGGGTTGGTGAACACTGTGATGGTCAAGGTGAAACTTTTTCCTACCAGAGGAGAAAAAAAGAGGAAAATGTGGGAGTCAGTCGAATGCAGGGACGCTCCGGACTTCCCTGTTACAGAGATGATGCATGGATGCTGCCACTGCAGCCTGAAGAACAACAGCAGGGCAAAAAGCCCCAGGATGGTGAGAAAAAAAAAAAAAAGTCATGATTTACGGTGCAGTTCTCATGACGGCCACAAGGTGTCACCCTAAGCCTATTTCTGTGCTGCAGATTAAACTGAACAGGAACATAAAAAAGAGCTTTGAATGCCCTCAGGGACATGAACTAAACATGCAAGAAATGTAAATCTAAATAAGTTATTTGTTCTTAAAATATTGTTAAATATGGAAGTTAGGTCCGTCTGAAGGCAAAACTTCCCTAAGTTATTTACTACTGTTAACTCAAACTGGGTTATATAAATTAAACTAAGTTATCATAAAACAGCGTTTTATTTAATTGAGGAAGAAATTTAGAAACTTTTCTAATGGAACAAATCAATTTACACTTAATATAAGAAAAAAAAGCCTGCATTGTCTTATTTAAAGAGCTTTTTATGTAATTATATTATTCTAATAGTTAATCATTCCATTGGTTAATCATCTTATTTACCTGCTCATATAAAGGGAAAATACACTTCATTTAAGACATTTTTGCTTATATGTAGGTTGTTTTTGCAGAGCAGATGTTGCAAAACACAGTAATGAGAGTTGTGTAGAAAAGAGGAAGTAAGAGCGAGACTGACAAAACTCCACCACCCCCTAAGGTTTTATGTGTAGGGGAACTCTCGAGGGATCTTTTTCTTTTTAACGGAAAAAGTTTTATCCTGCAGATATTCACACTGAGACAGTTTGCGCTGATGGTGGAGGTCAGAGCTCTTAAAAGTACTGGCTGGGTCAGGTTTAATAGGTTTTAAATGACTGTTAAAACCTGTAGCCTTTAAGCGTTGACTATTCAGGCATGTTCAACCTAAGCCCTTTACTGGACTATCTAAGACTGTTAAACTAGCGCTTTACTGACCTATCCACAGACTGTTAAACCTAGCCTTTAAACCTGACCTATCCACAGACTGTTAAACCTAGCCTTTAAGATGGACTATCCTCACAGATGTCTTAAAACTAGACATTTAAAGATGAACTATCTACGATGTTAAACTAGCTTTAAGCGATATTACAGATGTTAAAACCTAGCACTTTTAAACCGATCTATTACAGATGTTAAACCTAAACTTTAAGCCTGCCTATTTCTAAGACTGTTAAACCTAAGTTTTTTAAAACACTGCCTATCCACGATGTTACCTAGCCTTTAAGACCTGCACCTATTACAGACTGTTTACACGCTAGCATTTAACCTGACCTCTATTAAGACTGTAAATAGCCTTTAAACATGACCATATCACAGACTGTTAACCTCGCTTTAAACTGTATCACAGCATGTTTAAACTAGCTTTAAACTTGACCTATCCTAAGACTGTTAAAACATGCTGTTTAATAACCTGATTATACAGTCTGTTTAACTCTATTAAACTGACCTTCACAGGAATGTTTAATAGCCTTTAAAAACCTGACCATCCACAGATGTTAACTTAGCCTACGCCCTTAAATGACTATCACACAGACTGTTTAAACCTAGCTTTAAACTGACCACTATCACAGATGTTACACTAGCTTTCACTGCAGATCAAGAATGTTAAACTAGCTTTAAACTGACTATACAAGACTGTTAAAATTAGCACTTTAAACCTGACTTATCCACTGACTATTAAACCTAGCTATCAACTGACTGTTAAACATAGCCTTTAAACCGGATATCAAAGATTTTTAAACTGCCCTTAACCTGATATCGATTGTAAAACCTAGTTTAAACCGGACTATCCAGAATGTTTAGACTAGCCTTTAAACCATGACTATCACAAGATGTAAAAAACCTATTTTAACCTGACTATCAAGCATGTTAAAACTAGCCTATAAGTAACACTCCTCAGAAGTTTCGGTAAACCTTTCAACCTGACCTATCATCATTACTGTTAAACCCGGCTTGTATAACATGTTATCACAGACTATTAACTCAGCCTTTAACTGACCTATAACAGAGTTTTATACTGAGCCTTTAAACATGTCTCTTATCCACAGACAGTTCAAACTAGCTTTAAACTGATATAATGACTGTTAAACTAGGCATGAAACTGAAATATCCACAGGAATGTTAACCTAAGCTTTTATCTGAATAAGCGCTATCAAAGACTTGTTTCAATAGCTTTAAACTGAATTATCCAAGACTATTAAACCTAGCCTTCAACAGAGACTGGTTAATACCTTGCTCTTTTAAATCCGGACCTTTTCAAAACAGACTTTTAAATCTAGTCCCTTAAACCTGACTTTCACAGACTTGGAACCACTAGCCCTTAAAACCTGACCTATCCACCGACTGTAATATAACATAAAATCCCTGCCTTTAAATGACCTATCCACAGAATGTTAAATAGCTTTAAGTCTAACGTCTAGGATGTTAAACTTTAACATCGACTATCACTACTGTTACAAGACCAGCTTTTTACCTGACCTATCAAGACTATAAAACCTGCTTTCATGACCTATCAACAGATGTTAAACTACGCTTTAAACTGATATCCACAGTATGTTAAACCTAGCCTTTAAATGACTTATACATGATGTTAAACTAGCCTTTAAACTGACTATCCACCAGACTTGTTAAAACTAGCCTTTAACCTCGATCTATCCAGACGTTCATAGATTAAACTGACCTATCCAGACTGTTACACCTAGCTTTAAACTGACATATCAAGGAGGTTTAACTAGGCCTTTAAACCTGAACCTATCACAGACTGTATAAACATAAGCTTTAACCGTGATCTATCACAAGATGTTACAACCTAGCCTTTTAAACTCTGATTATCCAAGGCTGTTAAACCTGCTTTAAACCGACTATCACAGGACAGTTAACTAGCTTTAAACTGATCTATACCCAGACTGTTAAACTAGGGCTTTAACTGACTACTCCAAGATGTATTAAACTTGCCTTTAAACTTGTGACTATCCGACAAGAATGTTAAACTAGCTTTAAACTGGCATATCCAAAGAATGTAAAACAGACTTATAAAACTGACTATCCAAAGATGTTAAACCTAGCTTTAAAGATATACAGATATTAAATAAGCCATTCAACAGACTGTTAAATAGCTTGTAACCGGATTATTATCAACAGACTTTTAACCTAGACCTTAACTCTCGGACCTTTCCACAGACTTTTAAACTTGCCTTTAACTTGAACCTACTCAAAGAATGTTATAAACCTAGCCTTTAAACTGACTATACAGACTGTAAACCCTCGCTTAAACCTGACCTATACACAGATGTTAAACATAGCCCTTTAAACCTAGATTATCACAGATGTGTTAACTAGCCTTTAAGCCTAACATCCTAAGTATGTATAACCTAGCCTTTAACCACTGACCTATCACAGACTTTGTTAACCCTAAGCCTTTTAAACCCTCGACTTATCCTAGGATTGTTAAACCCTAAACTTTATAAACTAAAGTTTACTGAAAATCGAGAACATCATTGTGTTGTTTGGATCAATGGCCACCTTAATCCTTTGAGGTGATTTTTTCTTATGTAATAAGTGAGAAGGTATACCGAGAAGGCCACGATACATTAAAAGTTCCATTTGATTTATTGGTACGACCACGTTTATTAAATAGAAACAAATCAAGTCCATTCTCTCTATTTTCTTGGTGCTATATACGTCTAATGCTCTTATTTTTGAAGGCAAAAATTAAATTTACAACTAATGACGAAGAAATTAGAGGAATTTGAATGAAGCTGTATCGATGGTATTTAATGTGTGTGACTGTATGTCTGCAGCTTCAGGAGGAGCTAGAACCATTTCTGACATCAACCCTTCTAACTAACATCAACTTCGGCTACATGTTGCTCCAGAACCGCAGAACACTAACGTTCTGTCACGTGCGGATGGTGAAAAATAAGAGCAGACCGCAAACTTGATGGCTGGCTTCCTATTCTCCCTCACCAGGAACGATTAAAATAATACCATTGAGAGGCAAATGAGATTACAGCAAACGATTGTGTGTGTGTGTGTGTGTGCGGGGGGGTGGGGGGGGCGGGGGGTCACCAATCAAAATAACTCATTTTTAGTGTGTTTTGATCGTGACTCAACCGATATAATAGCCAAGCAGGACAGGCAGACGGAGCAGGAAAAACATGAAAACCCAACCTGATATACCGCGTTCCACAAATATAAATTCAACAATCCGCAAGGTTCAGGTGAACCCAGAATGGTTTAACAAACCAACCCACAACACACTTATCAAGATGCCATCCTTCACACCTTTAGCTAGAACTCCCAGTGAAGCAAACTGGCTTTTAAAGAAGAACTTTTCCACAGCTGAGGACTGAATTCAACCCACTGAATGCATGGAAGCGCAGCAGGATCCTCCTGTTTTAAATAGATAGGCTGCCACATTTGCCTACGGCTGCCTTAGAGTAACTGTGGTCCACTGTCGGTTACAATGAACCGTGGAGGGAGGTGGGGGGGAGGCAGGTTGATAGTAAATGAGCCTCTAAGAGGAAGTAGAATGAATGCTGTTATTATTGAGGCGTACTTCCCCTATTTCATCCATTCAGCCCTAAGTGCTTCTTCAAAACGGCGTTAAATTCCAGCCGTGCCTGGAAGCAGAAATTCCCATGTGCGGCACAGCGCGGGCGGAGGGGCGCAGCGCAGTGGGTGTCTCCTTTTTCTCTGTACCTCTCCCGCTGCGGCCGACGAAGCGCAGGTCGTTGAATCGAGCCACCTGGTTCTTGATGACAGCCGTGGCGTTACGAAGCTCAGCGGAGTAGTTCTCGTCGTTTCCCGCCATCACCGTCACCAGGGTCCCATCAGGGACGTCGCCCAGGGTCACAATCTGGAGGAAAGAGTCGTTGTCAGAGCTGTATAGTGCCACAATTTGAATCAAAGTTTGATCTTTCTTGGGTTTCCTCACGTTTTCTGCCTAGATCTATTGTCCATTTAACTGAACAGAAACATTGATTTTGGTCTTTAAAGACCAACACAGTTCTAATCCATAAGTATTCAACAGTATCTACCGCCAACTTTAAGTCTGAACCAAAGTAGTTCATGAAAGTGAAAATGAGGCAAAATCATCACCAATAACCATTATAGGATCAAGTTGGACAATTGTCTTAAGGCCCTTTTGTTGTAACCAATGGTCCTAATATGTCTCTAACCGATTTAGAGGACAAGAAAACAAGAATACATGAAGATGTTCTCTGAAGGTCTCAGAAAATAAGAGAGATCAACCAGCACCATAGAGTGAGGAACGGGGACGGGCTTGCCAGGGAAAAGGCTCTGGGGTCTACAACAGAGGATGGATCTCCTCCAGACCGACCGGGACTTGGACATCCACCAAGATTAAGGTGAGCACTGATCAGAGAGGATGAGCATGGTGACTCATGGTTACCACGATCACACTTGGAAGAAGGTACTTTGGTCAGATGTGATCAAAACTGAATTTTTGGCTTTAAGCAAAGAAGAAGGAACGACGCCAGCCTCATTATGAGGGAAGCTGGTCAGAGTAGACGAGAAGATGGGTGGAGCTCAATCCAGAAGAATTCGGAAAGGAAACCTGTTGGCGGTTAGAGAAGACTTGTGGTGTAGTGTCACCTTGTAGAAGAAGAACCACCATGGAAATCCAGACCCAGAGACCTAAACAACCAACCCAATAACTAACCAACCAACCCAATAACCAAACAACCAACTGAAACACAACCAGCCAACGCATCAACCAACTAACTAACCTACCAACCAACCCAATAACTAAACAAACGATCTACCAAATAACCAAACAACCTACTGAAACACTAACCAACCAAACAACCAACCAACAAATCAACCTTCTAATTAACCAACCAAAGAACTGACCAACAAAAACATCTGATAAAACCTTCAATAACTCCACTGAACTGATATCCAGAACCATGTGATATTCTGGGAGATCTAAGATTGAAAGTAAGCCGACTGACTATAAATTTTGGGTTTTCCTCCTGGCTGTTGTTTCAAGTATGTAAAATAAATATTAATGAATAATAATTGATATTGACTGATAGGAAAGGTCTGTATTTTGATACATTTGTCAGTCAGATCGACATCGCCCACATCTTTCCTACTAACCAACGAACTGATCAGTGTATTGAATGAATGTGCAACTGACCCAACAACTGAAGAATCAATAGATAAACAAAGCAAATAACCAACCCACCAACCTACAAAGGGATCATTTGATTGATTAAATTCTGACCAGTTTATTTCTATAGCTCTAATTCACATCATGTCATCTCAGGTCACTTTCCAGTTCACCAGATCATCCAGTCAGATTGATTCAAAGTTTTCTATCTAAGGAAAACCAGCTGATTGCATCGACTCATTGACTCTTCAGCAATACCTCACACTAAGCATGCTTGTATGGACAGTGGAGGGAAAACTCCAAGCAACCAACCCATTAACCAGGCAACCAACCAAAACACTAAGCAACCAACCTACCAAATAACCAAACAACAAACCAACACATCAACCAACTAAGCAACCAAAGAACTGACCAACAAAACAACCAGCACAAACACTAACCAACCAACCAACCAACCCAGTAACCAAACAACCAACCAAAACACTAACCAACCAACCCAGTAACCAAACAACCAACCAAAACACTAACCAACCAACCAACCAACCACCCCAACAAATAACCAAACAACCAACTGAAACACCAACCAACAACCAACCAACACATCAACCAACTAACCAACCAAAACTCTAACCAACCAACCTACCAAATAACCAAACAACCAACCAATCAAACCAATAACAAAACAACACAATAACTAAACAACCAAGCAAAACTCTAACCAACTAACCAAAACACTAACCAACCAACTAACCTACCAAATAACCAAACAACCAACAAATCAACCAACCAAAAAACCAACCCAATAACCAAACAACCAACTCAATAACCAAACTAACCAAAACCCTAACCAACCAACCAACCAACAACACAGCACCCAACTAACCAACTAAAGAACGGACCAACCAAACAACCAACCAAAACACTAACCAACCAACCTACAAAATAACCAAACAACCAACCAACCAACCAATCAAACCATAACAAAACAACCAACCAAAACAATAACCAAACAACACACCTACCAAATAACCAACCAACCAAAAAACTAATCAACCAACCAACCAACCAACCAACCCAATAACTAACCAACCAACCAACACAACATCAACTAACTAACCAACCAAAGAACTTACCAACCAACCAACTGACCAACAAATCAACCAAGCAAAACACTAACCAACCAACCAAAAATAATCAGCCAACTGAGCAAATATGGATTGACAAGCTAATTCAAGTTAGTGTTTGGCAAAGAGCAAATCCTCAAAAGGTTCAGGGATGTGAATACTTTGCGATTTACAAGCTTTAAGGTTGTCCTAATGTTCAACACTGTCCTACGGAGCTGATTTCCATATAACTCTAATTTGTGGAGCTTCAGTTAGCAAATTTGCTCCACTATTCGTCACGCTGCTAGGAAGACCTCTCTTCTTTCTAAGCAAAATTGAGCTGGAGGGGACGGCTGACCAGTGGTTAAATTTAGCATCGTTCTGCTCAACGGGCCCACATGTTGTTGTTGAGTTACAAAACACATTTTAGTTGGATAATGTATAAAAACCTGATCCGTCTGCAGAAAAAAAGCGCATTTCTATACGCGCGGCGTCATTGTACAGTAAGGGTTCGTTCATAGCGCTCATTATCTGTGATGAAGCATAATGACCGAGATTCACAACACAAGCCGAGAAAATTACCATGATGGGAGGACTCCTGAATAAATCAAACTCTCATAAACATAATTTCTGCAAGCTTCGAGTTGCTTTTCATAATAGCATGGAGCCCTCAAAGGGAGAAAAAGTTTCCCGCACGGTACATGTGAGGTGAATCACTGGAAAACAAATAAAAGGCCCGACGGGAAGCTCCGGAATGCCCTCCACCACGAAAGGAGAAGAATTCAACCAGGAAAAGCTTCAGGAACGTCAGGCGGATCAGAAAAAATACAACAAAATCATGATGGAGCCACCTTGAAGGCAATGGGGAGGGTCTTGTTGCACCTCCAGTGGGTGGGCAGCACCGAGCAGAGGAAGTTGGGGCTGTCTGTCTTCACCAGCTCGCCCGGATGATCCGAAATCACCTAAAAAGGAGCAAAAGAAGGAGACGGGCCATCCAGATTTATTTCTAGATAATAAATCAAAAGCTGTGAATTATTAAAGAACTGCTTGCCGTACTTCAGCCATGCCGTGCTCCGCCAGACTGAATATACCCATCGCAGCAGCTCACGCGGCACCTGGGTCCTAGGGCAACGCCTCGCCATTTTCCCCGATGCACAGCGAAGGTGCGAGGGGCGGGCGTGTTATCGCCTCGAGGGGGCCGGATCTGAGGGAAAAAACAAACAATCAGAAAGAAATAAAAGTCTAAAAAGATAACGTTGATTTGGATCGTTAATAAACACCTGAAGGACGACGAATTTATAGCTTTAAATACGTGTTAAACTCTGACAGATCTACGTTTATCTAACCACAAAGTATGAATATCAAAATAAAAGAAAACCACCGTCAGAAATATTAGCACAACAAAATAAAAGTCCCAGCATGAATTCATTGTTACTGTTAACAAAAACCTAAAATTAAAATATTAGAGGAAAAAATTTGATTTTAAAATAATTTATAGGAATATAAAGAATGTAATATTAATTATAGGGCTGCAACTAACCATTATTTGGCAGATCGATTCATCTGTCGGCTATTTTTTCGATTAATAATCTGAAAGCCAAGAGGATTTTTTTGCAAAATGAAATCAGGGGAAAATATTAACTTTTCCACTTGAGAATATTAACAGATAGAAAATATATTTTTTCTCTTAAATATTAAAGTTTTATTTTAATTTTATTTTTTTTACAATTTTGATATAATTCATGTTCTAAGTGGGTAACTCTATACTGTAATATACGATTAAACGATTACTAAATTAGTTAACCATTATTTCATAATTGATCAATCCGATTATGTTTCAGCCCTAAATATCAATCCTAAAGGGAAATTAAACAATAAAAAAAAAACAAAATGGACTCTAATCACCTAAAAACAACTAAAAGCTAAAGAAACAAAAGTGATTTCTCCTCATTTTGAGCCGGATATTCAGATGATTGTCCGATAAAATACAAATACAAATATCTTATTTCTATTGTGTTATATATTTGCATATATATATATATATATATATATATATATATATATATATATATATATATATATATATATATATATATATATATATATATATATATTTGTACAGCGTTTATCGTCCATGCATACATGGTCTCTGCACACATGTGAATAAATATCTATATCCTGTATAGAACTTGTGGATAGATACAAACTACATTTGTTGCTATGTCCTTGTGACAGTTTAATGACAATAAACTTGAATTCTATTCTACTCTATTCTATACTATTCTACACTGAAAAAAACAATGCAACAATTTTTGGCATTTACTTAATCATATTTAAGTCAATTTAACACAATTGCTTAATGACAGCAGGGTGGGACATAAAGCAACTGTGATAACTAAATATGATTAAATAAATGCCAAAGATCTGCTCCAGTTTTACTGATTTAGATCATTCTAGACCTGCGACACGCGGCGGCCGGATGACAAACTAAAGCCTAAAATGATTCACCAATTGAAAAGCAAAGATGAAAAACAAGTGAAGCCGTTTCTTAGTGGATTTGAAGGTTTTTCTTTTCACCCCATGTCGTCGGAAGGCCTCATCACCATCACCCTCATTTATCTCCCTCATGCCTGCCCCCCCCTCATGTCCACACGTCCCAGTGCAGCAGAGAGACATGAAGACACTGTCCAACCTGATCCACCCGGCTGCAGGTAGCCCTAATCAAACTGGATCCTTTCTTTCTATGCAGATCGGATCTATTCGCTTCACTTCTAGATCCACATCAATGCAGCAATCAGAACGTTTTCTGATCTCTGAATCATTTCCTTTTTTTAAAGTTGTTTGCAGGTTTAAAGACAAAACATAAACCTGTTTATCACATTAAAATGAATAAAAACCCCTAAAGGTTAAAAAGGTCAAGCTGCGCATAGAAGAGGAAAATTCTATTTGTTAATAGAAATTTCTTTTTTTTCCTGATCTTTAAATCTAACATCCAAATAAAAACACCAGAAAAAATAAAGACGCATTAAAGGAAATCCAGGTAGGATCATTTTATTCTGAATTAATCAGAGGATTTTAAAGAGAAAAGTTTGTTTTGTTTTTTAACATTAAACAGATAAATTTCCTCTTTTTGTCTCGTTAGAATTTAACCCAAAAAGTCCAACTTTTTCTGTATTTATTTGTCCCGTGTTGGACAGATGGGGACATAAAGACATCCGCTGCACGCAGGGAGCCAGAACCCGGTTCGGTTCGGTCCGGTTCGGGGGGAGCCTACCGTATTTCGCATCCCACAGAAACACCATCTGTGCGCCTCGGTGCCGCGGATCCACCTCCGCTCTGCTTCAGCTCTCCGCTCCTCGGCTGCAAAATCCTGCCGACCCAGAACCTCTGCTCTCCGAACAGAACCGAGCCGAACCGAACCGAACCCGGCTTGTTGTGAGGAAAGCGGAGCTTCCCACCAAGTAGGAAGCGAAAGCAGAAGTTGGAATAGCCATCCCCCTGCAGACTCTCCGCTTTTACAGACTCGCAGCTGGATTTGCATGCAGACCGCCGTCAGCCAATCAGCGAGCTCCTCGCTTCACGCAGCGGACCAATCAGCGCTTCGTCCGTCCGCGGGGAGCAACGCTGCTCATAATCATCGCTGAAAGCCTTAAATAAGGCAGTAAACCTTAGAAATGGTTCTGATCAGAACCGGAACCGGACCGGGAGGCGAACTGGGCTCCTTCCAGAACCACAGCCGGTGTTCTGCTGAGGAAGTACCGGACGGCTCCAGCAGGGGGCGGTGGAAGATTTTAACTCATTCAAACTGTGATCCAACCGAACTGATTCTGGTTGGAAATGGATCTGATTCACTTAGATCTATGCCACTTTCAGGTTTTAGAATAAACTACAGTAATAAAAACAGGTCAAATCATGTTAAACAATAATGTAATATGATGGGAGGTTGGAGCAGCCGCAAGGGCTGCTGGGTAATCCCAACAAGGGGAAAATCTCACAATTTAATCCTAGTTTTGTGTTGAAAACGGTTGGTTATTTTTATAATCTGCTGTAGCTAAGCTATTGTTATCTTCTGGAGCTTTAAGTTGTAATTTTTAAAAAATCTGCACCATGAGAGAAAATTTTTAACCAGTTATATATAAAGGAAAAGCTTCACTGCGGAGTCAAATTGAATTGAAGACGTATTTCCTTGCTGCTGACTTATCAGTAAAAAATTTGACGTTAGAACAGCTAAATTTAAATACATTTCCTTCATATATAACTCAATCATGACGTCATAAACTTAATGATCAAATAGCAGGCTGGACTTTCAGCACATATGTTTCAATGTATATATTTACATGTTTGCATGGTTAATATCTATATCTTTTTCTGTCTTCCTTCCACTTTAAGCTCAAATAAGAAAAATATACAAAAAAAAGATAAATAAATGATTTAATTGATTGCCTTGCAACAAGTAGGTTGTGGGTTCGATTCTCTGCATTGACTTAGCATGTTCTCCCTGAACATGTGGGGGTTTTCTCCGGGTACTCCGGCTTCCTCCCACAGTCCCAGAACATGACTGTGTGAGTGAATGGTTGTTTGTCTCTGTGTTGCCCTGTGATGGACTGGAGACCTGTCCAGGGTGGACCCCGCCTCTCACCCCTAGACAGATGGAGATGGACACCAGCACTCCTCACATCCCCACTTTTGATAAAACGTGTCAGAAAATGGATGGATGGAGTTTTGGCATAAATTCTCTGCTGTAGAACCAATCGGCTGCTTTTCTCGCCCAAAACAACACAAAATATAAACCTGGAAGCAACGTTCCCAGATCCAGATGGAAGATTGAATCAGTTAGAACATCTGGGAAATCAAACCAAAGGTGACTTCTATAAATTCTACATCTATATTCTCTTTAATTAGAAAATTAACTGAAGCTTCCTTCTGCTCAGCTTCTATTTTCATCTTCTTCCGTCCCTCAAACCAATCTGAGCCGCGTCCAGGTCACTGCTGTGAAGGAAGTATTCCCACAGCATGATGCTGCCACCACTGTGGCAGGTAGAATAGTTTAGGTAGGGTGTCTGGTGGCTCCTTCCTCTCTCCATGATGGAGCGCTTAAAGCTCTGTTAGACGTTCCGGGTTAAACGGAACCAGAACCTCCTGCCGGCTGAGGATCCTTCTCAGACTCCCTGAATTAGTCCAGATGAAAATGAGACCCTGAGGGAAACAAACCCAGAGGAGGAAACTGATAACGGGACGGATGGAGCGGGTGTTGAGTTTCAGTCCTCTGGCAGCGTAACCCGACCGTCCCGCCGTCCTCTGACCTGAAAAATCACCTTTCAAACTCATCGCCGGCCTTTTAAAGATGAAAACAGCTGGCCGCTAAGCTAACGGTTTGTGAGCTAATCAGCTGAGTCATGGTCGCTATCAGCAGCGTCATCGCCATCATCATGGCGTCACCGTGTATCTAGGCAATTAAGAGTACATGAGTTATACGCAAGGGGAAAAAGATTTTACTCTAAAAATGAGGGGAAAAAAGGGCGATAGATGAAAAATTAACTTTTAAACATTTGTTTCCCACTAGAGTTCATTTGACTGATTTGTTTTTAACCTTTAGTCCTAATTTATCAACAGATTGGCATCATTAGACGCTTTTATCTGTTTCTAGACCAGGTCAAAGAGAACCAAACCTGACTTTACTTAGTGCATATTATTGAACCTAAAATGTGGATAGAAAAAAAATGCTAACTCCAACTCTCGTCCCATAAAACAAACATTCATACAGTTTCATACATAAACTACTGCAATAAAAGTAAAAAAAAAAAAAAAAAATTAATAAGTCGAAAAACATATAAAGATTGTAAAAAATGCTTTTTTTTTTTAAACTGTGTCAAATATTCAATATCTACAGAGGTCTAATGATCAAGCCCAGAACACGTAAAGAGCTGTGTTTTCTTCTTCTTCCATGGTGTTATTAGTGCCCTACACCGCCCCCTAGTGTCAGCCAGCGGGAAAAAGCCACATAAAGACTAACTCCAACAATCGATTGAACAATCAACCTCCCGGTCTCCCTTCGAGGTCGTAAAACTTCAACCTTTTTAAACTTTTAATAAGAGGATTAAACTGTTTGAA